ATTTCAACGTCCAATACGTTGAACTTACGTTTTCAACGTTCAATACGTCGAATGTACGATTTGAACGTTCAATACGTTGAATCTACGACTTAAATTTCGACTCGGGGTGGTTTGTTCCTCTCTTTGGGTTCTTTCGTAGACTTATCGATAAGAAAATGTTATTTTTTTAACGATATTTCATTTTCGGATGGAGAAATTTTTTTTTCACTCTTTCAGGGAGTACCCCATTTTGCCCGCAAAAAAAAATTTTTTTTTTCTACGGCAACTTGAAATTTGATTATTTTCCTTTAATTACGACTGAAAACGAGAAAAATCAGCGTATTTAAGTCCTTAAAATCATAACGATTGCTTAAGTACCCCATTTTGCCCCCCCCCTCCCCTATTTTAAGAGTAGAATTTTTACTGTTTCAAATGTTGAATTCTCCGAGTGTGAGATCTTTCCTTTTTCCTAATAGAGTACACTAAATATTGAAACGGCAATTTTTACTGTTTGAAACTGTAATTTTTTAAGATGAGAGAGTCGTTATTTACTATAGTGACATCTACTAATCACATTTTCGATATTAAATTATAAATAGTGGCTTTTACACTTTCTATATTAAGTTCTGTAATATTTACATTTGTGCCACCCCGATGTCCGCTGTATTGTTTGCAACTATAAAAATTAACCGGAATCCGAGTGAATTTTACAGTTTACTTTGTTCCGTGCACAATTTAGACACTAAATCAATAAAGAAGAGATGTTTCGGAAACTAGATATATTAAATTATAGTCAGCCTTTTTAGTATATTTATAAAAATTGTAGTTAAAATAAAGTTTGGAAAATCTAAAAGTGCACGCCTCATAATCTCATATTTCATAATAAAATTCATTAAAATAAAATACAAATACTTTTAAATCTTTCGCGCCATTGTCCACCCGTAAAAGAAAAGTACTGCACATGTGTTGTAAGCGAACCTTATTTACATAGATATAGATATATAAATGATAAGTGGGTTTTAGTTGATTGCTAATTATAATTAAACTACATTGAATTATACCGTGATCTTCGAAAAGACTTAGTTTTGGATAATACTGAAGCGTATAAAAAAATGGACTTGATCAGTTAAGTTTTTCGGTAGTTATCGTGACCACGCCAGTTTCCATACATACATCAGACACACGGACGTCCACGGAATAATTTTTTTTATTTATTTAAGAAGCAAAATGTCTTTTAAAAATGTCATAAGTGTTGAAACTAGTGTTTTTCCATGACATTTATGTGTAAATATTATTCTACAAGTGCGATAGAAAATAAATAGAGACAATTTTAGTTAAAAAATCACTTGACTTTTGTAAGACGAGAATAGAGTACTACTTTATCCGCTTCGCTTATGAGGCGTGCAATTATCATTACGAATGTCAGTTAGTCTGTGCCATTATTTGAATAAAATTCGATACAAGTTGTCGATATTATTATTGGTAAATTCATTTTCTTTGAGCGGTCTTTTTTTTATTTATGGTAAAATAAGCACTTGAGGCGTGCAATTTTGGGTTTTCCCAATCAACAACAAAAATTTTAAAATAATTCAGAGTGATTGAATTAAACAATTTTAGCTAAAAATCACAAATAAATTTCTTATTTAAAAAAAATTGCAGTTATTTTTATTCTAAAAAGACAAAACTTTAAATAACTTAATAATTCTTACCGAATATATGTGAAACTGGACAAGCAAAATAACAAGACTAAAAATAAAGTCCATGATGATGAAAATAAAAAGTCAACTAAATTCTGGTTATAGAAACCGTAGACGCTAAGTTTCACTGGCGTATGGTTTCAGTGGTTAGATTGTTGTTGGCTTTTATTAAGTCATATGCAGCACGAAATCTCGTTATTTTAGTCGATTCATTAAATTTGATAAGAGAGCCTAGTCGTTCCGATGAACGATTCAATTTTCATATGTCTTTTTATGACTAATAATACATTTATATGTGTCGTATAATTGCTATTGCTATTTACATAGATTTGACCATGCACACCTAATGCGCGAAGAGTTTGAGAGAGAGTGTGAAAAGAAGGAGATTGGTCACTTGAAGATTTTTATGATGAAGATGTCATTTATTATCACTTGTAAAGATTTGTATCAAATTTGCATTTTGTATAAATCTGCCCAGATCAATTTCGGTGACATCTATTTCATCAGCTACACAAAATTTTATATAGTCAAATCAATCATCAAAAAGTATTAGAAATCACTATGATATTGCCGAGATTTACAAATTATGAATAAGAAAACTTTGGCTTGATGATTTTTAGGTAGATTTCTTTAGAAATCTATCTGTTGTACACTGAAAAAAAAATTAACTTGATTCGAAAGGAAAATTCTTGAATCAAGAATATTACTTTAAACAGGGTAATTGTCTTGAATCAAGACGAAAAGTTCTTGAATCAAGTAAAATATACTTAAACCAAGTAAAAATTTCTTAGTTTAAGATTTTTTTCTTAAATCAAGAAGATGAAGTTCTTCAAAATTATGAACTTGATTCAAGAACATTTTTAACTTCCCGCTAAGAAAATTGAAAATTTTCAAAAATCGGGAAGTTATTGGTTTTACCCCGTTTTTCGAAAATCGAGTTTTCAACGGATGTTGACGTTTTGAGGTTCTAGTATGTCTGTATGTGTGTGTGTGTGTGTGTGTTTTTTTTTGGGGGGGGGAATCCTTTTTACGGATTCTAGGCATAGATGTTGACCCGGATATGTGGCGACTCGACGCAGCGTCATACTAAAACTCGACGCTGACGCCCCTACCCACTAAACCCTAAACCCCTTTCTCTTCTATCCTCTGATCCCCCATGGTACCGCCGTAAAGCATTTCTTCGCGGGGGGAGGAATTAGCTGCCGCTCTTCCTTCTGGTGGCTAAGATGTTATTTCTTCCTTCTAGATTCGGTCTTTCGCTCTTTTCCTCTCAATGGATCGCAACTCAGTAAGCACTTTTGTAGCAAAAATGCTTGTGGCGTTCCAGGCAGCTTCTGACGACAACATTGCCTCTACTATTGACTCTGGTTGGGCTCTCTTCTTCAGAATCTTTTCTAACTCATTGCGCTGTTGGTTGAAACGTGGACACACAAAGAAAACATGCTCCGCATCTTCATTGACCCCTGGACAGGACGTCACTCTGGGGTATCGTCATGCTTAAAGCGGTGGAGATACTTCCGGTAACATCCGTGTCCTGATAACATCTGCGTTAAGTAATAGTTGATCTCACCGTGACTCCGGTTGAATCACTCATCAATCCGAGGTATGAGACGGTACGTTCACCGACCCTTATCTGAAGCGTTCCACTCTTGTTGCCATCTTGCAATGCTGTGTTGCCGTTCTTCGCTTCTAAGTTCTTCAGGGCTCAGTGTGGTTGACCTTTTTCGCTGATATAGGTTCCGTCTTTCCTCAGCTAGGACTCTGAGAGGCAGAGTACCGGAAATAACACACACTGCATCCTCTGATATTGTGCGAAAGGCGCTAGCTACTCGTAGGGCACTCAGTCGATATACTGGTCCAGCCTTTCTCCATGATTCTTGCGTCTTTAGTGCGTCGGCCCAAATGGATATTCCGTAAGTGAGCACCGATGTGACTACTAATGACAGTAATAGCCTCCTGCTCTGCTTTGGGCCTCCGACGTTCGGCATCAGTCGTGCTAGACTAGCCCTCACTACTGATGCTTTGGCACTGACATGCTCCACTTGCTGCTTGAAGTTGAGTCGGACATCAAGCATCACTCCCAAATATCGGATATAAGGTTGTGATGTGATTTCTTGTTCGCCGAATTTCAGCTTAATGGTCTCTACCACTTTTCTGCTGGTAATAAGCACTGCCTCAGTCTTGTGTTGCGCCAGTTGCAGGTTCATTGCGTCCATCCACCGGTTAACGCGCTCAAAAGTGAGATCAAACATATGGTTTATCTCGTCAAGGTGTTTGGCAACAATCACTACGGCTATGTCATCTGCATATGCTACGAGTTTGACGTTTCTTGGCAGAGTTAGTCTTAATAGACCGTCATACATAATATTCCATAGGAGCGGGCCTAGAACTGAACCTTGTGGTACACCTCCAGTAATATCATACTCCCTCGGACCGTTCTTCGTGTCATACTTCAAGACCCTATTTTCAAAGTAGCTTGTTACGATCTTAAGAAGGTATTCTGGTACATTCTTCTCTTGGAGGGCCTGCATGATGCATTCCCAATTGGCGGGAGTTGAATCGTTTCTGATGTCCAGGGGGCCCGTCTTTCCTCTGCTAGTACTCTAAGCGGCAGGGTTCCAGCAATGATGCACACTGCTTCTTCTGATATTGTGTGGAAGGCACTGGCAACTCTCAGAGCGCTCTGTCTGTAAATTGGACCCGCTTTTCTCCAAGATTTTTGCGTTTCTAATGCGTCAGCCCAAATAGATATACCATATGTGAGCACAAATGTTACTACTGATGACAGTAGTAGTCTTCTGCTCTGCTTTGGTCCACCGACGTTGGGCATCAGTCGTGCTAGGCTCGCTCTAACTACTGATGCTTTGGTAGTCAGATGTTCGACTTGTTGCTTGAAATTGAGTCGGGCATCAAGCATCACTCCCAGGTATCGAATGTACGGTTGTGATGTGATCTCATGTTTTCCAACTTGTAACTTGATGGTTTCTATCGCTTTCCTGCTAGTAATGATCACTGCTTCGGTTTTATGCTTAGCTAGTTGCAGGTTCACCGTATCCATCCATAAGTTAATCCGTCTAAATGTAATGTTGAAGGCCAGATTTATCTCTTCAAGGTGTTTCGCGACAATCACCACAGCAACATTATCTGCATATGCTACCAGTTTCACTTCTGCAGTCAATGCTATTTTCAGGAGACCATCATATATGATGTTCCATAGCAGAGGACCTCGAACTGAGACCTGTGGTACACCACCAGTAATATAATACTCCTTAGGACCACTTTTTGTGTCGTATTTGAGGACTCTGTTTGTGAAGTAGCTTGCTACCATTCTACGCAAATACCCTGGGACTCGTTTCTCTTCAAGGGCGCGTATTACACAGTCCCAGTTAGCAGAGTTAAAAGCATTTTTGATGTCTAATGCAGCCACCAAACAATACTTTTTTGTGCCGCGATTCCATCTCTTTCCAGCAATCGCATCCTTAGCTGTGTTGACGACCAGGTTTATTGCATCCAGGGTTGACCGTCCTTTTCGGAAACCAAATTGGTTGTCTGCCAGGAGTGGGTCGACTACTGCATTTATTCGTTGATGAATTATGCGCTCAAATATCTTACCCGTCGTATCTAGCATGCAAAGTGGTCGGTAAGATGACGGTTCTTCTGGTGGCTTCTTCCCTTTAGGTAACAGTACCAATCGTTGCTGTTTCCACTTACGAGGAAAAGTCCCCTCCTTGAGGCATGCATTATAAGCGTCTAGGAATAATGTTGGAGCTGCCTTTATGATTGTTTTTAAGGCTAAATTAGGGATTCCGTCCAATCCCGGCGCTTTATTATTCCCTACACAGTTACAAGCCTCCAGCAATTCTTCTTCAGTGACAGGTGAGATGTCGTCCAATTCGCCTGGCGCCAACTGGTAATCGAAGTTGCGTTGCTGTGGAAACAGTGCAGTGACGATTTTCTGGAGAAGTTGGGGACACGTAGGTGATGGTGTGTGTGTGTGTGTGTGTGTGTGTGTGTGTGTGTGTGTGTGTGTGTGTGTGTGTGTGTGTGTGTGTGTGACCCTCTTATAACTTTTGAACGGCTTGACCGATTTCATCACGGTTGACGCCATTCGAAAGGGCTTGATCAAACTTAGATTTTGAATACCCTTTGGACCGATTCGAACCGGTAGATTTTGAGAAATCTCAAAAAAACTACAAAAAAAATTTTTTTGAAATGTGGTTTTTTTGGAATTACTTTTAAATGGCTCTACCGATTAATTCCAAAATC